TGTTATAGATGTTATGTTGAATGTATAAAACAAGCATAATGACAATATGTAGAGACACTGATTACTGTAGCTGAAACTAGGAGAGAAGACAGTCAAGACTCAGATAAGACATTGCATTTCAGTCTGGTCCTAATTTAATCTCACTCGAAACAAGATCTTGTCAAATCCAAAAGGAAATATGAGTTGAAAGATGGTCACTGCCTCCCCTCCTAATGCAGAAAACACGAGAAGAATGTTGGAGTGCAATGCTGCAGACGGGAATTGCATTCAAGCAACAAGTAGGCTTTTCACAGAGGAGTGTGAAAAGGCTAAACCACATTACGAGAGGCTCTACATTGTCCCAGGACATGAGTTAGTCTCAGCAGGACACAAGGGCAGGACACAAGACCTTGGGCATGAACTCACAGATTATATGCATGAGAAAAAGGATTCAATGGAAAGTAGCAATAACTGAAAGTCAATGTCAAAGACAAAGGAGTAGGAGAAACTAGCCTGTATTGCAAGCACCAAGTATATTAGGATCTCTTTTGGGACATAAGGACCTATAATCATAGTAACCTAAGCAGAGGTAAGTCTCAGTGCAAATTTCCTAAAGATGTTATTTTGTTTGCGTTGTGCCTTGAAATGCAACTCTGTTTAAGACTTAATATGTGTTACTGGGAGAAGTTTTTTCTGTTTCCTCATTCCTCAGCCAAAGCAGAACTCTTGATTCAGCAAGCAGTTTTAATTGTCATGCTCCAGAGAGAGGATAAATCGCACCACAGCCACGATAGAGTGTATATCTTTTTCCTCAGGCAGATGAGCAAAAGCAAGGGATGCCCATTCCAGAGTAGAGAGAGGACCAAGATGAAGGCAAGGATAAAATCTGCCTGTAGTATCTGAACTCATAAGACTTGGTGTAGCATCTCTTCTGGAACAAGCCTAAGGCTGACCCTTTTCTAATATAGGCTTTCTTGGAATACACACTGACCCAAAGTTCATTCTTTTACAAAAGATTCATTAGATGCAAGGATTTGTGTAAAGTTGTAACCACATGTAAAACTGAAATGTTTCCTATGGTAAGGTGGGAAGACAAGAGTGCCTATGAAAGGGGATGTTGGGTAGGGAGTTAAAACTAACTTTGATGTTTTTTTCCCCAAAGCTCCATTCTTCATTTTACTGGTTATCTCAGATCTCTCATGGTCATGGTTCAGGCCTTCTTAGTTATCTTCCCCCAGAATTCCCAGTCTTACTGACCATTTTAACACTAACACAGGGCTAGCTAGCTGGCCATGGGACACATCTGAAATCTCAAGCACTAAGAAGCCTAGGCAGGGGGATTGCAGTGCTAGTGCTGGGCTGGGCAACCTAGTTCAACACAATCTCAAAATTAAATTAAAAATAAAGTCAATAAGTGTTTTCCAAAAAAGACTTTAAAACCATGAGTTATGCTGACCTTGTTTGTAAAAGTTGCTGCTTTTGGAGCACCAACTTGCTACCTTGACATAAAATATTAAAATGGTAACCTGAGGCAGCTTTACCCATGGAAGAAATAAATGTTCCCATTAAGTAAGTCTTTGCCACTGTCTGGTAATATAAAGGGGAAGTTGCCTACTCTTTCTTTCCAGTGAGAAGATTCAAGCTTCATTCCTCATTCCCTAGAGTTTTTATGAGTGAATCTACGGTAGATGGATTCTAGAAGCCACAGGCTACTGGGTCTGCTAACTTCAGCCAGAAGAACACCACATCCGACCTCTAAGTAGAGACAATTGAAATGAGTAAGGCTTGTCTGACAGTGTCTACTACTGCTTCAGCATGCACCTGAACCATTGGGATATGAGGCTATTACATTTTCAGTTGTCAGGAAAGCACTCACTGAAGGTTCCTGGTGCCTTCTGTGTATACCAAAGACAAACTATAAAGTATGAAATCCTTCAAAGTCAAGAGAGGAAATAGGATAAAATGTAGCCACAATCATGGGCTTCAACTTAGCAAGATGAATATAGGTCAGGGAATCTAACTAAGAGACTTCATTTTCTTTTGGGCATTGATTATCTTTATTTTAAATGTATACATATCTGTAGTACCTATAATAATTTGATTCACTTGTAAAATTCGTAATAATCAAATTGGGGCTGTTAGCATTTTTATCTTCTTCAACTTGTCTTATCATTTTTAATTAATATATTATAAGTATGTATATTTATGAGGTATAGTGTGATATTTTAATACATAAGTACAATGTATACTGATCAAAAGATGAGATGAAATATTTCTCTCTATCATTATATTGTGTTGATATTTAGAACTAGCTTGCTGTCTATTGCCGTGATAAACACGATCACCAAGCACAATGTGAGGAGAAAAGAGTTTAACTCATCTACTTCCAAGTCAGGTTTCACTGACAGAAGTTAAACAGGAACTAAAGCAGAAATGAAGGAGAACCTCTTCTGACCTGCTTGTTTTCCAACTCACTCTGTCACATGATCAGCTATGTTTCTTATGCAGCCCAGTCACCTCTGCCTAGGGCTGTGCCATCACAGTAGGTTGGATCACTTTTTTTCCATCAGTCATCAAGTAAGATATCTTACAGACAGGGACATAGGACAAACTGACCTTGTGGCAAAGCAACAAGGCAGTTCTTCAATGTTCAGGCAATTCTTCATGGGGAGGTTTCTGATAAGCTGACAAATAAAACTAAGGAACACTAAGGCTTTGAGCACTTGTTGGTTATTTGTATTATGCATAGTAGGTTATTATAAACTGTAGTCATCCTGTGTGCTGCAAAACACTAGAGTTTATCAGTCTTCTGTGATATTCTGGTAACCGTTATCCAGTTTCCCTCTGACTCTCTTGCATCCATCGTCCCCAATCTCTAGTATTTTGTAGTCAGATCATATTTGATCTTTCATTTTTATTTTAAACTCCACATGCAAGAATTATACTGTTTATTTCTTTATAGCTGCCTTATGTTACTGAAGATAAACTCTAGCTCCAACCTCTTTCCCGATCACTGGCTATAACCCCTTTAAGGCTGGATAATGTCTATTGTGTGTATATACCCGATAATTAACCATCCATCTATGATGGGTATCTAGGTTAGGCATATCTTTGCTATTGAGGAAAGCATAGCAATAAATATGAGAGTGTAGATGCCTATTTAGAGTTAACAGCATTAATTTTGATAATATTCTTGTAAATAGAATTAATTGTATGCTAAGTCTGTGAATAGTATTTCTCCAAGGACTACAGAATCTTAATTCTGTTACAATTCACTCCATATTATTTTGCCCTTTTTGATAATAGCCACTGTGACTAGCACCAATGAAACTATGATTCTGCATTTTAGTTCTGTGGTGCCCAATGACGTTAGAAGTGTTCCTTTTAGAAAACATCTGAAAAATCTAATTGTCATTAGATGAAAATAGGTATCAGTATAAATGTCGCCAAAAAGTATCCCCTCTCCAGGGTATGGCCCTCATGCCTCACTGGACGACAGGGGGACTGGAGCCACTACAAGGTCCCCTTCAATTACTGGAGGTCAGGCCTCTATCCCCACCTTCGCAAGATTAGATTCGCCACAGCCCATCTATACTTAGAGAAGGGAGGAGATGTCAGGGGCAGCCTTGCTTACACACTGAAGGCCTAAAATCAGCCATAGGCCTAAAATCAGCAATATGCCTGTGATACATGTATACTAACACCAAGTCTTGGGTCTCTGTGGATAAACACTGAAACAGATGACTATAAGCTATTGCAAACAGGCAGTTTTTGTGACAATTTACTAGCCTGAGTAGTCATAGACCTTGTAAATAGGTAGCCTTGGCAGATATTACCAGCTTAGATAAGGACAAGTGAATCATAGGCAGAGTCATAGTGACCTATTCCCTGAACCCTCACCCAGCCGATACCCTGTTCCGAAAAATATCTGTATTCCCCCTGAACACCCACGCTCCAGTGTCATCCCCTTCCCCACGTCCTGCCTTTTTGTTTTTATAACCCCTGTGTGAATGAGTATAAATTACAATTTGAAAAAAATAATTAAAATTTATATATATATATATATATATCTCGCCAAACATAAACCAACGCTCAGTGACACAATTAACATTTACACAAAATCCCCATCAGAAGTTATAAAAACATTGAATAGCACTAAAATGTATGAGACAATCCAGTAATTTTAGAATCTCTTCTTAAATTTGTATAATCAATTTTGTACTAAGGGTCAGTGAGCATATGAAGGTCTAGAGTTATCCTTTAACAATATTTTACTAGTTCTCCTTGTTGGATGTCAGTGTTACTAGCGAAAGAATTTCTCATTTCTTACTGTGTGCTAGAAATCCTATCTCTATCTGCAGATTCATTTTTTCCCTGAACAGGAGAAATGTTTTTGTTGATAAACAGTTGTAGTTGTAGTTTGAAGAACAAGGCAAGGGGATATATGTGTAATATCATTTTTCTTTATGAAGAGATAGATGTCAATCTTCTTCTAACTGAACTTACAGAAACCATAGGGTCCAGAATTTGATATATAAAGAGAAATACTTCTCATTGGCATTTTGCTTTCCAACAAAAAATTGCATGAATGGATTTGTAAACAATTCTAAGAAAGAGCAAACTGTGGAATGATTTAAACCTTGACATCTCTTTAGATGGATTTTGTAAAATTTGTGTTCTTGTCATGATTGCAAATGTTTCTTCTTATTTTATTAGCTCTTTTCTTGTCATAACTTTTGAAAACTAAATTTTAAAATGTCAAATAACAAGTCTTCAATTTGCAATGTGCCATGAGAATGATGGTGACTTAAACTCTCTCAGACTTTACAGTGTCCACCCATCGGCCTTTTCTGTTCATTTAAATTTCATAATCAACCTTGGAATGCCTGAATTTTATTCCAGAGTCAATATTAAGTGAGTAAGCAACCTTTTGGCTGCGCATTACCCCTGTGTACCAAACAAAGTTTGGGCCAATGCTTTCATCTTAAGATAATATTTCTCTATTCACCTTGATTTCCTAGGGAGCGAGCTTTGAATACAACCCAGCCTGGGTCCCTTCAGCTTACTGTGGGAAACTTGAAACCAGAAGCCATGTACACCTTCAGAGTTGTTGCCTACAATGAGTGGGGACCAGGGGAGAGTTCTCAACCCATCAAGGTGGCCACTCAGCCTGAATGTGAGTATGAAAATGGAAAGGCAATTTTTAAAAGCATTTATGTTCACTGTCTACAACATCCTTGCATCCTTTTCCATAGAACTTTTTTGATTAGACAATATGGAAGAGAGATCTTTGTAGCAACACATTTAACTTAAGCAATTTTAAAAGTAGATTCAAATTTTAATGAGACAGGACCTTACTCAGACCATAGTAGAAAATTATGAATGGGAAAGGCACAGTTTACCCCAGAAACACCCATGCTTCTCTTCTACGAAGCACCTTACCCTGCTGACACCACTTCATCATCATCGTCTTTCATTCATTTTTCATATATTTGTTATTTTTTGTGAAGTGTCTAATATTAAAGGAAAAACCTAATCTCATTGAACTTTTAATCTCAGGAAGCTTCTAAAAATCTTAAACATGTACTACATATGCTCAAAAAAGCTACCATAACCTGAACAGAGACATTGAGAATATGGACATTTATGTCTATTTACTACTCCATACTCAAAATTTAATCACCATATTCACATATATGTTCCCAAAGTAAAAGAGCTGGACACTCTAATAACTTAAAATTTAATAATTAGTATTTTGAAAGTCCCAGAATATTCCTCTGCTTTGTTAACCTTTGGTTACACATTTTCCATATGTTTTAGGGGGCTAATTAGATGAGTAAACAATCTTTTGGTTGATCATTACCCTCATGTTTGAGGGGGAAAATCACTGATGAATAGTTTTTCCACTTATATTCAATGAAAGCATTATAACCTAAAAGTTAAGTTCACTGAATGTATACTTATAATAAGGTACATTGCATCACACACTGGATTCCAGCTCCTCCTGGCCAATTAATCATACTAAGTCTATGTTTTTGTGCTCCCATCGGTTTATGTTTTCTTTGAAAATATCTGTTTCACTTAAACATAATTTAACATATTTTTAAACATGATATGCAAATTATAAACACTTAAGTAGACATAAATGCAAAAAAACTCAATATTTTATGGATGGTAGCGGTGTATTTCTTTAATCATAGAACTTGGGAGGAACAGGCAGGCAGATCTCTGAGTTGGAGGGTAACCCCAGACTACAGATTGAGTTCCAGGACAGCCAGAGCTACAGAAAGAAACACAGCCCTGTCTTTAAAAGAAATCTACATCAATCATTGAAATAGTTGACAAACTTGGGTCTTTGATATCACTCTGGTGAAGACCAGAGAGAATAGTTTAAGACGCCTGAGACCTGATGGGTGATTGACTCTTGGGAAGATCCACAGTCTCTTTTTTTGTTGCTGTAATTATAGAGACAACATAGGATTATCATTCATGAAAGCAGAAATTGTTAAGCCTTAATGATCTTATAAATGCCTTATGAAAAATAACATTCTGTATATTAACTTCAAAAGTGTTGTGAACATGGATTTTCAACAGTAAGTAGGGCCCAGAGGATCCTGAGGAGAATGCAGTTGGTAACTTTTAGGATCATGGGTATAAACACTGAGCTTTTCTTGAAATCTTTAGACTATTTAAAAACAACTGCAGCCATCATCTCTACAGAGTCAGTTTAAACAAGAGACCAAGCACCCTTTCCAGCCATGCACATGTAGACCTTCAATTGCTCTCAGAATTTTCTTCCAAAGAATGTTGTGTTGTTTCATTGATTTAAATAACTAGACAAATGGCTGTGGAGGTGGCTTAGCAGCTAAGGGCATTGAAATTAAGCCTGATTATATGAGTTCTGTTCCTGGGGTTAAGAGAGAACTGTCTCCTCTAAATGGTCTTTTGACCTCCATCCATGTTTGTGCTGTGGTATATGTAGTGTGTGTGTGTGTGTGTGTGTGTATGACAAATGACATACCTTTTCGAAAAGGCCATATATCCTCCTACAGGCCTCATATTCAAAACAACCATGACCACACCTTCTCATCCTTCCTAAATAGTCCCACTAGCTGTTTACCAACCATTCAAATTATCAGCTTGTGGGAGTCATTGTCACTCAAACCATCCCATCACAGTTCACATATATAGAATTGAATGCTTTTGAATGTTTAGTACTTTTGAGCAATAATATGGAGTAAAATCAGGCACATACATTATATTAACTATGCCTTAATTATCTACTATATCTACACATTTAATTATGTCAATTAAAAGACATTTATAGCTTGGTTAGGAACTTATGCATATGATTTCGACACGAGAATAACTGAGGCAGGAAGATGGTTATGAGTTCATGTATAGAGTGAACAATAGTTTGAAGTTATTTTTAGATACTTCAAAATAAGCATAGGAAAAAAAAATAAGTTTATCCGACCAAACCATGATAAAATGTGCTCAACTATACTTAATGCAAATTTTAAAAAGTGGAGTTAATACTTAGTTGTGTCCTTCTTTGCATAAATATATATATATATGCAACACACTTCATATTAAGTGTAACTATCAAAACCTTAAAAATTATAAATAACAAGTACTTATAAAGTATTCTAATAGTGAAATCTATACATGACTATGTTTTCCTTTACAATATGAAATTTCCATGCAATATATGAAATATTTATATGTAATCTTAATACTTTATAAAATTATTTTCACATAGTCTTCAAGAATAACAGCTCATGATTATTTTGTACTTCTGATAATCATGGTTTAGTCAGTCTAGCTTTCTCCCCAGGAACACAATGTTTTATCTTTTCTCATTAAAATTATTTTGAAGCTTCCTACTTTAAAAGTCAGATGGGTTTCTTGTTTGCTTGTTTGTTTTTTTTTAATTTTGGTTTGTTGTTGTTTTCTTTTATCTTATGCTTTGTATAAATACCAATTGTTTGAAATTATGGAACTAAGAGACATTTGATGACAGCTGCTAATAGTAGCATTTCCTGTGATACATGGTCTGCCATTTTTATGTGATTATTATTATTATTACTATTACTATTATTATTAAATTAACCTATATAATTATGTGTGTTCATAAGCATTCTTAACAGTAGAATGCAAAGAGTGGCTTAAAACATACAATCATATTTTGTGAATAGCTATTGTGTCCCTAATACTATTCCAGATTATTTAAAGCATACAGACTATTTAGAGAAAGGAACATACATGGAACTTACTACCAGTGCTCATAGAACATGGAGGAAGTAAAGAACCCACACATCTAATACTCGAACCTAACCAATAAGAGATCCTACAGGAAGTCCTTAAATGCAACACTCACAGATCTATATGTCTGTTTTGGAGCATGTTTACAGAGATGATTATGTGTCAGCTCATTTTTTTAATGCATAATCACTATACACCCACCTCATCAGATCAAATAATGTTTTACAAGAGTACTATCATTATGCCTTCAATATCATTCAGTGCTGACCATTCAAAGAAACAACAGAATGGAGTTGACCCTATAGCTCAGTGTTTGAGAACTGACTCAGCATGCCCAAAGACATGGATTCCAACTGATACTGCAAAAGAAATAAGAAACAAATAAATAAAACAGACCCTTTCTCCTATAATCATTTATTTTACTCAATAGCTGGCACCTACTATGATAAAGCAATTAAATAATATAAAGTTTCCAAATGGATGTAACTGATTGGTGATATGGTAACATGTAAAGAAATTTTTTCTCAAACGAATGAAAATGGAGATTTCCTCTGCTTTCAAAACACATTTCAGCCTTGAGTAACTTTTCATTAAGAGTGATAATGACCTCAGAATTTTCTTCACTTTTGATCTTTAGTCAGAGCAGTTCATTAAAAATAGCCTCTGTTCTGTCTTAGTATGAATTAAAGATCACTTTTTTATTGCACTGTGACTTGACTCTGTTTTCTGAGAGTTGCCATTGGCTTATTTGTTTTTTCTTGAGTAGATGTGTAGATAGAAAAAATTCAGCCTATGACAGCAGGATATGAATTCAGAGTATCCTTTAGAAAGCAGACACTGAACTATATCACTCAACTCATTTACACTGAGTACTTTGTGACTCACTTATTGCATTTATTATAGATATTATGATAAATAAATTGCATTATTATAGCTAATAGATGCTGCAGTAAATGACATTCAAGCAATATAAAAACATCACTAAGATTACTTAATAACTAACAAAATGTTGAGGAAGATGGTATACCCAAGAGATCTAGTGCTCTCCCATTCATTTCAGTGAATATATACTGTCTATATATTTAGAGAAAGTACAGAGTTGCATTTCATTATGCAGTTTCATAGATGCAAACACAAGAAGAGAAATTTTGTCAGTATTTCCACTAACAGAACTATTTTATCCTTTGAAAGGCGATCTCATCTGGGTTTACATTTAGCTGCTGCTTTTACTGTTGTTTTCCCAAATGTGATGTAGTAATTGTATAAGGACATTGCACTGCTTTTATACAAACTTAACATCCAGACTTTCATTATATTTGAGTAATCAGTTCCATTAGGAAAATTGTATTTCCAAGGAATAAAGTCTGGTGCAAATTTGTATGAAATATAAATCATCAACAACTGTTTCTACAAGTGCATGCATTCTGCTGTAATCATTTAGAAAGATCAACAGTCTGAGATCTGGTTTATAAAATAATAGCCTGGAATAGAAAAGCTTGATTTTTATGAAGGCTTGTGTCCTCTGATTATATCTTCCTTTTGCTAAACCTTTGCCCTTTCTCCCTTGCTTTTGTGGTGTGTAATTTCTCCACAGTATTAGCAGGCAGGATTTAAGTCCCTGCCTGCCTAAGACATGTCTAATCTTTTCAGACCACATGTGGAGAATTTTTGTATTATGTGGGGTCCCAAAAAATGCTATTAAGGCAGTTTAATCATAAAGAATGTTAAAATGGACCACATACAAGATGAACTTTTTTTGTCACAATCTCCATAAGAAACACAATGTGTCCTCTCAGTGTAGGACTGAATACAGGGCAGGGTTCTGGGGGAAGGGCTGTCAGTGAGCTACTTCATTTCAGGTCTTATAAAAGACACTAATCTCTTAATTATGTCTGAGCCAAAATTTTATCC